TTGTATTTCAGAAAATCAGAATGCTTTCTTACCAGACAAGCAATTGATTGATAATGTTATTATTGGGCATGAAGTGTTTCATTTTCTGAATAGGCATATAAGTGGCAAAAACTGTTTTATGGCTTTAAAGTTGGACATAGCAAAAGCTTATGATTGTGTGGAATGGAAAGCAATCCAACTGACAATGGTTAGAATGGGTTTTCACAGAAAATTTATCAAGTGGATAATGGCATGCATTCATTTTCCAACATTCTCATTCAATATTAATGGTTAATACAGTGGATATGTTCATGCTACTAGGGGTATTAAACAAGGGGATCCACTATCACCACATTTATTTCTTATAATCTCTGAATTACTATCTGCAAGAATTAACAGTGAGGTGGAGAAAGGAAGTTTTGTAGGTATCAGAGTTTCCAGAGGGGGACCTATGCTCACACATTTGATGTTTGCTGACGACACTCTGATATTTTGCAAAGCAAATGAAGACCAAATCAGGAAATTGCTGGAAATCCTCCATCACTTCAAGGAGTTTACTGGGCAGCAAGTGAATATGAGTAAGTCCAACATCTTTTTTAGCAAGAATAATCCAGTAGTGGACCAAAACAAAATTTGTGCTCTATTGCCTGGAATACAAAAACACACTTCTACCAGGTATTTAGGGCTTCCGTTGGGGCTGGGTAAATCAAAGAAAGAATCTTTTGATTTTATTTTGAATACTGTGAGGAAGAGAATTATGAGTTGGAGGAATAAGTGGCTATCAAATGCTGGTAAGGAAGTACTGATTAAAAGTGTGTTGAATGCAATGCCGGTGTTTGCAATGTCTTGCTTTGTTCTACCCACAGGGCTTTGTAAAGAGATTTCTCAGATATGTGGACAATTTTGGTGGGGTAAAGGTGCTGATTTTCAAAGAGGATTGCATTGGGTGGATTGGAGCAAGCTGGTTTTGGCTAAGAAACATGGAGGACTGGGGTTTCAAGATATCCAATTGTGCAATATTGCCTTTATTGCAAAACAACTGTGGAAACTAATCACAGAGCCTGAGAGACTGGTTAGCAGGATGCTTAAGGCCAAGTACATTCCAAATACCACACTTTTTGAAGCTCAAAGAACTCAGAATTCATCTTGGATGTGGGCTAGTTGGCTATCTGTACTCAAGGTTGTTGGGAACTGGATGAGAATTGAGGTAAGAACAAGCAGATATATTAATATTTGGGATCAACACTGGGTACCAAGTAAGATAGGGATGGAGGTTCAACTCTTACCAGGCATAGACAAAGGCATTAAGAAGGTTAGTGATCTGGTATGCAGTGATGGCAGGAGTTGGGATGTGAACAAAGTGGAAAACACATTTACACCAGAATTTTGCAGAGCCATATTAAGCATAGACTCTCTTAATCCAAATGAGGAGGATACATGGATTTGGACAGTTAATAGGAAAGGTTTGTTTACAGTTCATTCGCTACTTATGCCAAACTTATCACATATAAATTCCTCTAACAAGTCAAACTGCAGTCAAGCAGGGATTTCATGGCAAATGTCAAAGTTAGAACAAGAACATGAAAGCTAAAAATAATGGAGAGAATTAAACACTTCATTTGGAAGTGTTGCAATGGTTCCTTGCCAGTCAGCCTTAATCTTAGAGCAAGAGGGATTGATGTGGACAATATATGCAGAGTATGTGGAGAAGGGGAGGAATCTACAGAACATTTATTTTTTCATTGCAGGGCTGCAGAATTAGTGTGGAATCTGGCCCCATTACAATGGACTGGACCTCAGGCTAAAGAGACATTCAAAGACTGGTAGTGGCAAATTTGTCAAATGGATAAAAGCGAGATTTTTGAAGCACGGATACAACTCTCTACTTATATATTGTACTGGCTTTGGAAGTCTCGGAATTTATAGATTTTTGAATGTGTGAGGAGACCAGCTCATATTATTGTGCAAAGGGCAATGAAGGATTGAGAGGAGTATTTGAAACTTAAAGGTAACAGATGTTAATTGTAGAGTATTATGTGTTATTGTGTAGGAGTCTGTTTTTTGTATAGGTAACTGCATGTTTTCTGGTAGTTGTCTTTGTTTGTATTATTAAGGATAGCAGGTCATTAGCAGTAAGAGATTAGAGGAGATGTGTTATATCCTTGCTCTTACTTAGTTGATTGTTGAAGATGTTGTAGGCAGTATTTAGGCCACCGTTGAGTGGTGCTCCCATTTGTCGGCATCGAGATGTATGAACCTTTTTATTTATGGTATGAGATAATTCTATCGATTTGAAAAAAAAAATAAGAGAAAGTAAATAATAATATATATTAAAACAAATCAATATTTGCAGTGATGCATTTATAATTACTGTGGAATGGAGCTGCATGGATTGCACATATCTTCAAATGAAAGTGCAGCCCAGCCCATTCTGTGACATTGACATTATACATAAAATTATATTTTTAGTCCTGTTAGTTTAACGCACTACCATTTTTAATCTTAATATTTTAATTTTTTGTTTTTCGATCATGTAATTTAGTATTTTGTTTCAATTTCAATTATTTGGAATTGAAATTGCAACAAAATTTAAAATTATATAATTTTAAATTTGTTGCAATTTTTGTCCCAAATGATTGAAATTGCATCGAATTTTAAAATTATAGGATCAAATAGCAAAAACGTTCAATTCTTAGAACTAAAAACGCCATCTAATCAAACCAGCAGAACTAAA